CTCTCTCAAAAATAAACAAACATTAAAAAAATTTTTTTTTAAAAGAAAACAGCAATCTTGCAGACACATGGCCACCGAAATTATTAAACATATTATCCCAATATTCTACATATCAAATGTACTAAACTTTAAGTCATAAGAGTTAATTCCACAACTAAACTCAGGGTTCTGAGTGAAGCTGATATATATTAAAGTACCTAAAACATGCATTAAAATTTGGCACTTTCTTTAAAAAAAATTTTTTTTAACGTTAATTTTTTTCTGAGAGAGAGAGAGAGAGAGAGAGAGAGAGAGAGAGCACACACATGAGAGAGGGAGACACAGAATCTGAAGTGGGCTCCAGGCTCCGAGCTGTCACCAGAGCCCAATGTGGGGCTCGAACCCACAAACCGAGAGATCATGACCTGAGCCGCAGTCAGATGCTTAACTGAGCCACATAAACACTCCAAAGTTGGATATTTTCTTGAAACATTTTTTATCCTGATTTTTTATAAAACACTACCAATTAGCTACACGTAAATCTCACTTATCCTAACTTCAAATACATTCCTTTGATAAACACAGGATTTGAAGTAGTTAATTTACCACCTGACAGAACCTCACGGTGTGGTTAAATTATGACATGAAGAACCCGTCAGTTTACCCCACACTTCAGAGCAGATTCTTTTGTTTCCACCTCAAGTTCAGGAGGTCCCTGATGAACTAACTACACACAAGGCAGAAAGAGACACCACCATCCCCCTCCTCATCCTCCCCAGCTGTGCATCGGAGGCAAAGGGCTCACTTAACCTTAATGCACTTAAATGCATGCATCTATCAAGTGAGGAAATTAAAGTTGGCCTGCGTTGTGGTAAAAACTAAGCTAATACGTAAAGCGGCCAACACAAAATAGCATCTACTGGGCAGCAGTCATCGAAACCGAAAGGAATGACCGGAAGAGGCTTGGGCTGGCGGGCTGGTGTTTACTGAGTGCCTGCCATGGGCTGGCTCTGCATCGGTGCTCACGTCTAGAAGAGAAACGGGGGGTGGCTGAAGGCCCACTGTCCCAGACCACAGCCTATATGACAGGCTGTCCGAGACTAGAAGGAAGAAGACCTGTGATGCCCTCTCCCAACCCAGGAGCGATCCCATTTCTGACGCCCAGACTAGGAAGCAGGCTGGCGGACCGAAAAGCAGCTCTGAGATAAATTTTTAAAATCCTAGGGGCGCCTGGGTGGCGCAGTCGGATAAGCGTCCGACTTCAGCCAGGTCACGATCTCGCGGTCCGTGAGTTCGAGCCCCGCGTCGGGCTCTGGGCTGATGGCTCAGAGCCTGGAGCCTGTTTCCGATTCTGTGTCTCCCTCTCTCTCTGCCCCTCCCCCATTCATGCTCTGTCTCTCTCTGTCCCAAAAATAAATAAACGTTGAAAAAAAAAAAAAAATTTTTTTAAAATCCTAACAGCCTTTCACAGAGGGCCTCAAACATCAGTCGAATCCTCTTTTGGTGTTCAGATACACCAACTATATTTACTTTCTTCCTTGCTGAGCTCCGAATGCTACTGCCCTATTTTTCTGGCACGCTGCACAGCTGACAGAGCATTTCACACAGAAGGCTCATCCACGGGATGGGATGGCCTCCGCAAGAAATGGCGACAGTGAGAATTACTTACAATGTTTCAAGCTCGTGCCAACGCCAAACGGGAACAGGGTGAAGAACTCTTTATCTCCTTAAATCTCAGAAAATTATTAACTGGACTGATGCCTAAAAGCACATAAAGGAGATGAGTGGTACAAGAAAATCTGCTGGCTCTCCCTTCCTTCTACTGCAGGTCTTATCAGAGAGCCAGGGAAATGACATCTCACATATCGCAAGGATGCCCTAGGGGCTGCTGTCACCTTAACAGAAAACCCCACCAAGGCAAGGTGCTACTAGCTCCAGTGTTGAAGGACAAGCCCACAGACCTCCTGAAGCCCAGCGTCCTGGCAGCAGACCAACCAGCACCCTGGCAGTGTGCAAGTATCATGGTTCTGCTCTGCACACCTCCCCTCTGCCGTGAGGTCTTGTGCCTTCCAGTCCCGTTCTCTGGGCTTCGATTCCTGAATCTAACAGATACGCACATCTATGCTCCCTCTCATCTTCTTACGACTCAGGGAGTTTCATACAAATACCAACACACAATTTTTGTCCTTGGTTAAGGGGCGATGCTGATGTGCATGGTGACCGGAAACCTCTCTGAGGAGGCACCTTTGGCTCACCTCCAGTTTCGATGCAGGGATATGATGGAGGAGGTTCTCTCCAGTTCCCACTGGAATCTTTCATGTGAGATCGGTCAGAAGCAAAGTTCTTCAAATATGAATCTGCACGGATCACTCGAAATTTCCTGCAAATAAAGCAACATTCATTTACATTAGCAAGGTTTCCCAGTGAAATTCTAACTCAATTTTTTTTTATTTTTTTTATTTTTTTTAATTTTCAATGTTTATTTATTTTTGAGACAGAGAGAGTCAGAGCATGAACGGGGGAGGGGCAGAGAGAGAGGGAGACACAGAATTGGAAGCAGGCTCCAGGCTCTGAGCCATCAGCCCAGAGCCCAACGCGGGGCTCGAACTCATGGACCGCGAGATCGTGAGATCTTGACCTGAGCTGAAGTCAGATGCTTAACTGACGGAGCCACCCAGGCGCCCCTCTAACTCAATTTTTATACAGACTCATTTTCAATGACATACACGAAAGTACCCAGGCATTTTTGTACTACCAGTAATACACAAATATAGATGCAGCTTTACAACCTGTTAAAGAAGCCACAAGAAAGGATCAGCTGAAATAAAAAAACTACACAGGCACAGAAATACATCCAGTTGTCTTTATTTACTCAATTGTATGCCAGGGACAAAGGGCATAACCTTTACGCACCATCATCACAGACCTCTCAATTGTGTCATCATTAAGGCCACACCCCACACACCCACACATACCCACAAGCACACACACAGGAGAGAAATCCCCAAACTGGCTTTCAGAAGACACCTGGGATCTCATCACACACATTTTCAAAAGATGTCAACCTTTATATGTTGGACAACCTTTAAAACTTCAAAACACTTTGAATCTTCTGTGTAGCACATCATTTTCAAGTATCAACTCAATAGTGATGCCAAAACAAGTGATCTTTGCAAAACAAATGCCAAAAAAACCCCCACAAAATCTCACACACACACTCCATACAACTGTCAAGGTTTAAGTTCAGAAAGTAGGTAACTCCATCCTAAATCTCCTCACCTTCTAAACTGTGGATGGATGTCCTCATCAGACTTAAATGCATCTTCCACGTAAGTGTCAAAAGGACAGGGAAATGGCAGGACAGTGTCAAGATCATAAATGAAGCTCTGTCCACCACTTGAGACATGAAGCAGGACAACATGGTAATCCTAGAAATAAAAGTTGCTGAAGTTAACCAAGTTACTTCACCATCGTGAATACAGTGTTATAGGTTACAGTAATGATGGATTTTATGTTTTATGTGTAATATATTTATATATATATTTTATATGTACCATTTAATGGTTTCATATATATACATATACTTTTATATATACATATATATAAAACCATTAAATGGTACATATAAAATATATATATAAGATATATACAAATATATATAAAACATAAAATGCATTATATATATATAAAACCATTAAAAATGAATACAAAACTAACACAGTTCTTCTTATAATAGCAAAATAAAGCAGATGCTAATCCCTAAAAAAACACTAAACATCCGGTGATAGGGAACACTTAAATAAGCACTGAAAATGTTCATGTATATTAAATGTATACCCTTTGACCTGGCAAGTTTACCTCTAGGAATCCATCCAACAGATAAAATGGCCATATGCATGTAAAGGTATATATGCAAAGAAAATCTCTGCAGCACTGTTTATAATAGTGAAAATTCAGAAACAGTCGAAAGTCCACTAGAGAGAAATAAACCACAACGCAGCTACTAAAAAGATTTAGGTAAATTTATGTAGAAAATGGAAAAAAAGTGGGGGCGCCTGGGTGGCTCAGTCAGTTGAGTGTCCGACTTCAGCTTGGGTCATGATCTCACAGTTTGTGACTTCAAGCCCCATGTCAGGCTCTGTGCTGACAGCTCAGAGCCTGGAGCCTGCTTTGGATTCTGTGTCTCCTTCTCTCTCTGCCCCTCCCCCACTCATGCTCTCTTGTCTCTCAAAAATAAAATAAAAATAATTTTGAAAAAGGTGGGGGGGGGCACCTGGGTGGCTCAGTCGGTTGAGCGTCCGGCTTTGGCTCAGGTCATGATCTCGCAATCCGTGAGTTCGAGCCCCACGTCGGGCTCTGTGCTGACAGCTCAGAGCCTGGAGCCTGTTTCAGATTCTGTGTATCCCTCTCTCTCTGACCCTCCCCCATTCATGCTCTGTCTCTCTCTATCTCAAAAATAAATAAACGTTAAAAAAAATTAAAAATTAAAAAAAAATGGAAAAAAGGGTATGTTACATAGTTGGATAGGAAAAATAAACTGCAAATAAGTACTACATATTATTTTTTAAAAGCTATGTGTATACAAAAATAAATTCAAAATGGATGAAAGACCTAAATATAAGACAGGAAACCATCAAAATCCTAGAGGAGGAAAAAAAACAGGCAACAACCTTTTGACCTCAGATGAGCAAGGTTCTTCTTCTTACTAGACATGTCTCTGGGGGCAAGGCCGACAAAAGCAAAAATGAACTATTGGGACCTCATCAAAATAAAAAGCTTCTGCACAGTGAAGGAAACAATCAATAAAACTAAACGGCAACCAGTGGAATGGGAGAAGATATTTGTAAATGACATATCGGATGAAGCGTTAGTATCCAAAATCTATAAAGAACTTATCCAGCTCAACACCCAAAAAACAAATAATCCACTGAAGAAATGGGAAAAAGACATGAATAGACACTTTTCCAAAGAACACATCCAGATGGCTAACAGATACATGAAAGAATGCAGATGCTCAACATCACTCACCATCAGGGAAACAGAAATCAAAACCATAATGAGATACCACCTCACACCTGTCAGAATGGCTAAAATTAACAACTCAGGAAACAGCGGATGTTGGCAAGGATGCAGAGAAAGGGGAACCCTTTTGCACTGCTGGTGGCAATCCAAACTGGTACAGCCACTCTGGAAAACAGTATGGATGTTCCTCAAGATATTAAAAATAGGGTTACTCTATGACCCAGCAATTGTACTACTAGGAATTTACCCAAAGGATATAGAAAATGCTGATTTGAAGAGGCACATGTACTCCCATGTTTATAGCAGCACTATCAACAACAGCCAAAGTATGGAAAGAACCCAAATGTCCATCGACTGAGGAATGCATAAAGAAGATATGGTATACATATACAATGGAGTATTACTTGGTGATCAAAAAGAACGAAATCTTGCCATCTGCAACAATGTAGACAGAACTAGAGGGTATTATGCTAAGGGAAAAAAGTTAGAGAAAGATAAACACATGATCTCATTCTTATGTAGAACTTAAGAAACAAAACAGATGAACATAGGGGAAGGGAAAGAAAAATAAGATAAAAACAGAGAGGGAGGCAAACCATAAGAGACTCTTAAGTACAGAGAACAGGGTTTCTGGAAGGGAGGTTGGTGGGGGGATGGGCATTGAGGAGGACACTTGGGATGAGCAGCGGGTGTTACATGTAAGAGATGAATCACTAAATTCTACTCCTGAAATCATTATTATACTATATGTTAACTTGGATTTTAATAAAATAAAAAGTTCTGTGTATATATACACATGTACATTCTGAAGTACACATGCATGTATACGCATTGAGGAAAAAGTATGCAAGGATATCCTCCAAACTTAACAAAGGGGATGGCTTGGGCTAGCCTAGAATGGGAAAGAAGGACTATACGATGTTGTTAAATCAGCCAAGCCCTAATCTGTAACCATTTAGGGGAAAGATGAAGACAGCTTCTCCTTTGTGGCCTCACTCCCAGACGGTGGGCACTGTCCAACACCAGTTAATGGCTAGAAGGGATGTCAGGGAAGTTATCGAGGGGCAGGAGGGCAGTCTGATGCTCTGAGTCCCTCGAAAGAAAAGCGCTCTCACAGAGAACAGCACTGGGAGATAAAAAGCTCAATCACATTAGTACCACATAAGTAACACCACCTTATATTTCTAGTACTTCGGAGCTTAAAGAGCACTTTCTCAAACGTTGTTTTATCGACCCTATGGAGGGGAGGGGGGGATTAATTAAGACTGGAGATGCTGTGCCATCAAAGCCTAAGAGCTTCCTTTGGCTCCAATGCTATCTTCATAAAGCAGAAATAGCATCAGAAATGGACGCTTCTGCCCTGCACTCCCCTTAATGCATCCTGCCCTCCAGAGAAATAAAGTAGGAGCAACCCACCTTCCAGCCCACACCTGGCTGTGTATGTGTTATTCCCATCCTTCTGCAGCAACCTTTTCCACCTCTCTCCCCATATCCATCCCTCAAGTGCCCGCTCACATGCTCACTTCCCATGAGTCTCCTACTTCCTGCCAGAAGCAGTCTCTGGCCTTGTCCCAAATCTGTGTCTCTCTTGACATTTTCTACCTCATATTACAGGGGTTTTGAAGAGTGCATACTCCCTTTTACTTGTAGTTAACAGTGCTACTGAAATATCAAAGATGCAAAGATGAGAAAGGTAAGTCCTGACCCTGAGGAGTCCCCGCAGCAGAGTGTGAAACAGCCAAGTGCTACCGGAGGGACAGTGTGATGATGGCAGACAGCAGGGAGCCTTGCAGGCGAAGACATTCTGGTCAAACTTTGGCCCCTCCCCTTCCTCTTTTATAAAATGGAGCTAAGTGCAATGTCCACCTCAGTGTTGCTGAGACAATTAAGGAGATTATGTAAGTAAAAACTTTTTAAATTTTTTTTTTTTCAACGTTTATTTATTTTGGGGACAGAGAGAGACAGAGCATGAACGGGGGAGGGGCAGAAAGAGAGGGAGACACAGAATCGGAAACAGGCTCCAGGCTCTGAGCCATCCGCCCAGAGCCTGACGCGGGGCTCGAACTCACGGACCGCGAGATCGTGACCTGGCTGAAGTCGGACGCTTAACCGACTGCGCCACCCAGGCGCCCCACGGTCTTCTCCTTTTAGACAGACTTGAAGAGAAAGGGCCTCTGGTCATGTCCCCCTAACCCAGCATCTCACGGCAGCCCAGGGTGGGGACTCCTCTTGCAAGAAGTCCCCCCCCCCCCCCCCCC